GGATATTCCTTATGAATGAAGAGCAACAGGGAAAAATAGGGGGCGTGCCCCCCTCACCCCCCCCATCGCAATGTCCTTGGAATGTGTAACCACCCTACCTTTTGGTCAGATGAAGACTTTCAATTTTCAGTTTGCAGTGAAAGTGTCATGATCCACATCTCAAGTGAGTTGTTGTGAACAAAAAATAGCACACAGTCATTTTCAAAATATGCATTCTTTTGTGTCCCCATGTTCTCACTGAAGTGATTACTCAGAAGTCGAAGATAAAGACGAGGCATCACCTCTGAATGAGTCCAGTCCACTGATCCCTTCAGTAAATAGTGAGGAACATGAAAGAACAGGAACTGTATTCTCTTCAATATTCACCCTTGTTTCGACTATGGTTGGAGGAGGAATTCTTTCATTACCATTTGCATTTCAAGAAGGAGGTTTTATCATGACATCCATAATCTTATTCTGTGTCCTTATGGCTTCCACCCATGGTGCTTTTCTTGTCATAAACAGTAAGAGATATTGTCAGGGGAAAATAACAAATATTGAAGATGTGGCTAATATTGCCTTTGGAAATAAGGGAAAGGTAGGTTCAGTTATTTTATCTTGATTGTTCAAGTGTTAATCACAACCATATTACAATTTCCTCAAACATGATTGGTGCATGAATTGATCACAATAACCATAGAAACAAAAAAAAAAACACAAAAAAACTGGGAAACTTCCAAAATGGAGGAATTTTTTACTATAGACATCGTCTTTATGGGTGATTTTTCTCTAAATGTATTTGTTTTTTTCTTGAAACTGTAATGGTTATGATTACTTGGTAATTAACAGAACTTTGTGTCATCTAATTCAGTCTACAATCATACTGTCTCACAACTGATAAATTAGACTCCTACTATGCAGTTGTCTGATTTTCTAACCTATCACTCAAGTGATGACAGACCAAACTGGACTCTACTCAGTCCTGTTACCATTATTAATTTGATAATGGGAGATTGATGTCTAAGGGAACAACTCATTGATAGTGGGGCTCCCATGCGTGCTTTGCGCTTTGCGCGCGTGGGGCAGAGCCCCATACCCATGGAATATGATCAACCTCTTTTCGTTTGGTTGTCACGTGACTGACCGAGCGTACGTATGTACGTACGTACGTGCCTTTAGATTGCACAGGTAGGGTAGGGGAGACTATCAAAATGAAGGAAGGGGTGACTCAGGCGAGTCTTGGTAAATGCACATCTTTTATGTTATCATTAATATTACGAACTTGGGAGCTCCGCTTCTAGGCTCAGCTAAATTTATACATTAGACTTATGACTGAAGTAAGTTAAATTAACATTTGACTTGATGATATAAATGAAGATGGTGAATTTTTCAACCTGGCTCCAATTATTCAGAGTGTGAATAACTCTATTCACTGGATAAACCTCTGTCCAGTAGATAGCTTAGTATCCTTTGTTAACCTTTATCTGCTGGCTAGTGATTTATCTGTTGGGTTGTGTTATCTGCCCTTTGAACAACTGAGCCCTTTTGTATTAATTTAAAAAAAGGAAGAAGATGTTGTACAGTGAATGACACAGACATACTTGGAGAAAAGAGAAGTCCAAGTGCTCCTTATAGGAGTGGAACCTACAATCTTTTGATTAGTACTTTAGATGCTATACCACTAAGCTGTAAGAGAGTCATGGGAGATGAGGCTGTTTAACCAGACCCATGGTGACAAACTTCCTGCATACCGCTAGGATAGGAATGTTAATATGAGATACTTATATGCAGTGATGGCCCATTTAACCCTTTCTCTTTCAAGATCTTATTAGTAGTTCTCCTCACTGTTTGCCATATAATTCAGTCTTATGGTGTTAGTTGGAAGAATTTTGTACTGAATCAAGTAATAATCTGCTAATCGATATTTTTATTCATTCTCATCACCTGTCAGCTTTATATAGTCACATTGTAGCAAAAAGTTCTGTGTTTGTTGTTCGTGGGAGTTACAGGCTGGACTAATTAAGTTGATACTTACTTCTAATGACACTTTTTGTCTTATGGTCAGATGCAATTTGATTGTTTTTTGTTTTCAGATTTTAACTCAAGTGGTCATTATTGTAACACTGTTTTTGTGTTCAGTTGCGTACTGGATTCTGATCACAGACCAGGTTAGTGTTGCAGCAGTTTATTTTTGTTTGTTAGTTCAAAAAGAAAAAAAGTTGGCTGGTCTATCAGTGGCATACGTACCCTATTGTTTGTCCTTCTTGTTGTTCAAATATCCACAGAGAAGATGATTTTAGACCCAAGCACCTCACCCGTTAGATATCTGATCATGATAGAAGACACTGATGAAATTTTAAGCAGTTCAATGGGGGAAATTTTTGTGAATCATGAACAAGACTAGTGGATTACATGTTGTCATGCATCTGTTCAGTAACTAATCACACCTGACATCAAAATGTGGTTAAGAACAAACATCTTGACGTCTAGTACTGTTCTATAGCAAAATGGAAAAATAAAGAAGCCAAAAAATTGTCGATGGTGACATCATCAGTGCTTCTGGCCTTCACAGATCATTAGTGGTAAAGCCTGTTCATGAGCCAAGTGGCCCATTGGGCCAGCATTTAAATCCAGTTTCTGTACCATGAAGGGACTAAGAGTATTTCTACTCCCCGCTGGATGAAATGCTGGTCCATCACAGGGCTTGATGGACTTAGCATCCCCCCCCCCCAGCATTGAATTCGCTGGTATCCATTTATTGTCCTGGGTAAAGAGAGGCCCTGTGACAGTAAAGTGTCTTGCCCAAGAACACAACACAATGTCCCCGGCCAGGGCTTGAACCCAGACCACTTGATTCAGAGTTGAGCGCACTAACCATGAGGCTGCCACGCCTCCCAGATCGTTGATATGAACCCATTCAATGCATGCATGATTCTGATAATTATTCCAAAAATTACTCTGAATTATTCCATAGATCCAACCAATAATTGTTCTGCTATGTGGCCGTGACTCGTTCTGGTCAAAGAAGATTATCATATTAACAATACCAACAGTGGTCATCTTCCCAATCACTCTACTGAAGAGTTTGAGTGCACTTAGGTTTACCTCAGTTTTAAGGTAGGGGGGAGGAAATTTTACCTCTGACTATTTTCATATTTTACTTATAATAAGTCAACTATTTCGTTGTTTATCATGGTATTGTCTAGGAGAATTGCAAAGGAGAAATTGTTCAGCAAAACCTGAAGTATAGATTCAGGGATCCTCTTAGTAGCTATGAAAATGTCTTACCTCTGCTATTCTGCCCCTGTCTGACTATGGTCTGTAGATCTTAAGGCTTCAGAAGGCAAAATTTGAGATTTTTTATACAAAGTCAGAAAACGATATCGTAGTGGTAAGCAAACCATTCAGAGAGTGATCCCATTGCGTTAACGCGGCCTACTGACAAAGGCGACAAATCGCTTCACTACAAGGGGTTAATGAAAGTCATCCTTTTCTGGTTACGTTTAGCGTAGTCGTCAATAACTGCATCAGGATCCAAGGATATTCCTTATGAATGAAGA